TGCGAGATGGTCGACGATGTCGTGTGGTCGTTCACCCCATTGTGGAAACGGTGCATTGACGTTAAAACCTCGTAGGCCCATCTGTCGGTGCGGGCAATGGTGGTGGGTGCGGCCAGCCTCTCCGTAGTGGTAGCATAGCAGCTAGTTGTCAGGGGCACGCCAAACTTCGGCTTTTTGTGACGCGTAGCGTTGGCCAACTAGAGGGCAATAGGACGTGAGTAATGGTTGCGGCGGCAGTGGCAGTGTCTGGCAGCGGAACTGCAGGGGCAGCATCCTGACGCACGCATGACGCGCGCGCTGCAGTGGCAAAGCTCATAGCTTCTGACTGGGCCAGTTGCTTCAGGAATTCCAAGTGATTGCCAAACTTACTCACGCGGTTGAATCCACTTGAGTGTGCGCCAAAGGTAGTCGGCCGCCAGTGTGAGAGGACTGCCGTGTTGAAGGAGCTGCTTGTGCTCAGTACACGATCACTTAAATGGTTTCACACAGTTCATCGGGGCTGAGGGATTGAACTTCGGTGTAATCTGTTGTTGGTAAGTGGCGGTTGTTGTGCCTTGTCCACATCTCAAGCGCTTTATCTATTGTTGCAGCCTTCATCAGCAATTCATCGACACTTTTGGGCAGTTTGCAAACAAGTCCTGCAAACAGCTCTTGCTTGATTCCTCACGTCAGGAAACAGAGCTTCTTCTCCTCAGACATGGCAGAGTCGGCGAGATGAAGCAGGTGATTCATTTCATGGTGTACATGCCGATGTTTTCGTTTGGGAGCTGTGCATAGCTTTTCAGGTGGGTTTCAAACTTTTCCTTATGTGCAACGCTAATGAAGGTTCTCAGGAATGAGGCGCGAAAGTGATCTCATAGTCACGGTACCCTCTCTGTTCTCGAACCAAATCCTGGCTCCATTTTTGAGGGTGAAGTTATACGTGGCGAAGCTTGTCATCAAAGTCACAGTTATTTAATTGGGCAATACGGTCATATTTTTCCAGCCAGCTTTTCCAGTCTTCACAAGGGGATTTATGGAAAGTCAGCAGTTCCCTCGGTCGATTCATGACGACTCATTGAGGTGACACAGCGGCTGTCATGGTTCCTGTTGTCTTTGTAGTCGTGGTGCTGGGCTTGTTAGGCAAGAGTCTCAACTGTAATGGCAGTCCTTGTAGTCTGTGGCTAGCTCGACTCTCTTTGGTGGTGTCGGTTTCTTCTTGGTGGCTTGGACTGGGTTCACGGATTGACCGGAGCATCCCGAACGTGACCCAACAGCACCTACTCCAGATGTCACGTAGTCGTGGCGTTGACAAAGGCAACAGTTGGCGTGTTAAAAAACAAACTTTTTATTTGGCTGATTTTGTGGCCGGGAAACTGAAGGTCAGACCACAGCGACGCACATTGGCACTGATAGCAGCGAACAGAGTGTTGGCCGTAGGTAAAACACACAAGTAGTGATGCAAGTCGTCATTTTTACATGTGCTGTCGAATGTTCTAGTGTTATCACTAGCGTTCACGTAAGTTCCAAAGAATCTGTAATGTTCGTGTCAAGCACGCAGTCTTAACAAAATGATCTGGTTCAGTCCTGAAGCTTTTCGAACGCTGCAGGCATGGTTTGTGCTGAGCATTCGCTACAGTCTTAGTAGGCAAAAACCGAATACAGCCATTGATGTTCTGTACTACGCCGAAGAATTCCCATTCAGAGACATGAAAATTCTCGGTTTTGGGGATTTTTCCCTGCAAATGTTGACCAAATTTCCAGCGAAATTCTCTGCACAACAGTACTAATTTCTGCCCCCATCCACGCACACACATACTATAATTACACGTGTCTCATGTACTAACGACTTTTTAAATCACGACTACGTCCTCCACTGCTGCACAACAAAAGCATGACTTTATTATTTCATATACTGTTAGTACGCTGCACACTGTGGGCTTGAAGTCTAACACCACTAGTGAACTAAGTATAGCTCCGCGCAAATATCAGAAATCAGTCTCGAAAGCCATGCTTGCGTGGTGCATGCATCAGAACCGATTACAGCAGATGAAGGTGCACTGTGACAGCTAGTTATCAGTCGTCATAGAAGGATTTAGCCATTCTTGAAATTCCCTGCATTATCAGGAAGATTCCCTTTTTCCTTCGGTTCAATATGACAGGCGAAAATTCCCCGAAAAAGGGAAAATTTTCCCCGAAAAAGGGAAAAAAGTGAAATAAGCAACACGCGAGGCACTATCCAAAATCATTTTAGCATATTCTTACTGCCACCTAGGTCATAGCAGGACAAAAAGTTTCTTTCCATCTCCTTTGTACAATGAGAGCAGCATTCATAATCATGGACTTTTCCGTAATCTGATCAGCTGTAAAGCCCATCAGCATCCACACGTGAGGCATCAAAGATTCCAGTGCTTTAGTTAGTGTCTATACTACCCAGAATGAACTCTGTTGTTTATGCTGCGTGCAAGAATAATCGGGAATGTTGCCATGCATTCGTGTGCAGCTTGCACAAGGGAGTGGTTATGTGTGTATAGAACTGGTCGCATAAACACAGAAAAAGAAGCACACATACTAATATGGTCTGATGCTCACTAGTGGTGGCGTGAACTATTTTAGCTGTGTACCTAGCAGCACCTGCAATCGAATTCGACAGGTACCAGTAGTGCCGTATTTACTAGGCTGTAAAGGAACGTTAAATGGTGACAAATGTACAGAAAACCGATTCTGCCTCTTTTTTTATATTCAAAAAGAGCTTCGAATGTCAAAAGGAAGGCAGTTAACCTCAGTTGCGCTCAATCCCATGAAAGCAAGAGGTGGAGCATAACTAGCATTTCACGGCGAGATTTATTGGTAGTTACCGTAATTACTCGAATCTAACGTTCACCTTTTTTCCGGTTAAGCAAGCTCATAAATCGCATGCGCGTTAGTATCGAGTACGAAAAAAATTAATACGGTCATTCTATTGCCATTGGCATTCCAAAACGGCCGCCCCCTACGTGCGACGGCATGGTGCGTCGGCCATTTCTGCCTATGTGTTTCCTATGTGTGGCACTTCGTACGTGTGCTGAGAAGTTCGTCATCTTGGTGTGTATTAGCATCGATGGCATGGAAGGGGCGACTTCAAAAACTCGACGAGTGCACCACGATGCCGCTTTTAAAAGAAAAGTCATCGCGTGTGCCGAAACGGACGTAAATCGGGCTGCATCGCGGTCGTTCGGAGTTCCCGAAACGTGCGTGTGAGACTGGCGGAAACAAAAGCAGAAGATTGTCAAAGATTCATGCAAAGGCTTTAGTGGACCACAGCAGGGTCGGTTTCAGCAAATGGATGAGCTGCTCGCCGAGTATCTGCTTGAGCATCGAGCGGCACAGCGGCCCGTGACGACAGAACTGCTCCAAGTGCGGGCTATGCAGTTAGCTTTAGAAAAAGGGCTAATGCGGAGCCAGTTCAAAGCCAGCAGGTGCTGGCTAACTAACTTTATGAAGAGGAAAGGCTTTTCCCTCTGAAGGCAAACGGGCATATGCCAAAAGTTGCCGGAGGAGTACGAAGAAAAGCTTCAGTTTTCAGAGGTTCGTCCTAAACTTGCGGCACAACAACGGCTCCCTGCTTGGGCAAATCGGGAATGCCGATCAGACGCCTCATTACTTCGACATGCCTGGCACCACAACCGTCGAGAAGAAGGGGGCAAAGTAAGTTCGCGTGCTGACATCGGGCCACGGTAAAACTAGAGTGACGGCAATGCTTCGTTGCACGTCAGATAGGCACAAGCTTCCCCCGTGCCTCATATTTAAACGGAAGACACTCCCGAAAGGAGTCTTTTTCCCGAGTGGTGTGATCGTGTGGGCCAACGAGAAAAATGGGTGCGCATTGCAATCGATGTCTTATTATTATTTTTTTTTTGTCGTGGAAACCGGGTGCGCGTTACAATCAAGGGCGCGGTAGAATCGAGTAAATACAGTAAGTTAAAATTGATTTTGGGCGGCACAAGAAACAAGACATTCTTTGTCGTCCAAGGCAATTTTTTGAGAATGTGAATGGTGTTTTGAGCTAATGAGGCTAGAAAAGACTTCAGGGCCAGTCCTGTTGGAAGGCGACTGGAGTACGTGGCACAGCAACCGACTTTGATTATCAAAGGTGAAAAAGATTTTACATTTGAGAAGTGTGCAATATTTACTCATTATGTGTAAGAAATCTAAATGTCCCAGTGAGATTTAAAGAGTGGCAATAAATTTACAAATACACAAAAATGGAGATGTAAAATACTTGAACTAAAGACCAATCAGAAATTTGTCTTATGCTTTCAGCATTGCACAAAACAATCACAAAGAGAAATTCACACAGGATAAAAGCCACACTTCCATTAACCGAGGGAGCATGCTGGCTTCAGGAAAGACTGCAGTCAGTGCCTTGTTGTGAAACATACTATTGACGAAACTGGCGAGTACAAAATGCCCTTTAATGCTATTCGAAAAGTCTCTGCACTCTACAGAGGTGCCATCAGTTTTGGTGGTATGGAGTATAGTACATGAATTGTACGTGAATACCATAGGCAATATAGATTCTGCGGCTGCCCTGCTCCTCCTCAAAAAAAGCACAACAGTTGTGATTGAGAAAGCGGTCCATTTACTGAATGTTTAGAGGAAGTATTTAAACTTTTGGGAGAAACAGCAGTAAAGAATGACGGAAGAATTGTATCACAGCAACCTATGGTTTGTAGACGACGCTCTAATCTTCAGTTTTTGACGGTGAACACCTAAACTGGAAAACGTTTTAAAGTAAAGTTAAAGATGTCTTTGCAGAAAACTAAGGTAATGCTAGGTGGTGGCAAAACAATTTGCATTTGCGAGAGATAACTGGACCCTACACATCTAGGTCCAATATTAACGGTACACTTGCAGTGAAATTTTCTCAAAGATTAAGCTAGTACGTTAAGACACTAAAAACTGTAGCTGAAGTGTAACCATCACATTATGGAAACCAACGAAGCAAGTGCCTCGCTCGAAACATGTTTCTTGTTGCACAGGTTGTGTGACCGCCGGCCCAAGGCTCACAAGGTGGGACCGCCATTCCGGCTGCAGCTTGCCTGCCCAGTCGACATGTTCCCACAAACTCGACACTGCGAGTTGTTGTTTCTTTTTGCGAGATAAATTATGTGTGACTGTTGAATATGAAAGACAGCGTCTTTCTTCCACCACAACACTGAGAAAAGTGGCGAGGGAGGCTTCATTGCAGCATTGTAAGTACACGCCTAGAAAAAAATATAGCTGGGTGATTCCACGAGAGATTGACATAGGTCTGAAAGTTAATCATTTAGATTTGTTTGTTTATTTTATATTTTGTGCACATACCAACCAGTAGCTCGAAAGGAACCTTCGTTCTTTTATTAACTGCATAATTTAGATGAAAAAATATATCGAAATTTTTTTGTATGGAGGGACCAATTTCATCCCTTCTCATTCCCAAAAGTAAACGACGACATAAAAACACAAATATCAAGGTGACAAAGACGATCTTTTTTCTAATAAATGTGTGCATAATGAAGAGCGAAGCAGCATTGTTTGGAACCTGTGTGTTGTAGCAAACTGTTTTTCAAAGATGTCTGAACAGGTGACATTTTTTTTTTAAGTTGCGATAGTTGAGATTTTTTTCCTCTTAATCTAAACTAGCTAGTTTTTTATAACTTGGTGACCTATTACAACGTAATGTTTACAATATTGCCAGTCAATATTGTAGCTGTACTTCAAACACTTATTTTTATAAATGGCCTCATAACTTTCGCTGGCAGTAAACCCTATTGAAAAATTATTATTTATAAAACCTTGTCTCCGATTTTTCTTAAAACCCCACAAAAGATCTCTCGGAGATCACAGAAAAAGAATATTAAAAATATGTTGCATTATTTTATTTACAACGACAATACTACAGGTAGAAGTTCCAGCTTTTCGAGGATGCACTTAGGTAATAAAGCACGACTGAAAAAAAGTAGGCATGAACTTCTGAGTCGTATGAACGGGATCACATAGAAAAAACAGCAGATTTGGTAAACAGGAATCACCGTTTTGAGCATGCCCTTGGAAAATACCTAAATGTGCCCGATTAGGCTGAGGCTTGAGACCCTCAACTTATTGGTACCTCGGTTACTGAAGCTTTTGCATGAAGCAGCTAAAACAGTCATCTGTTTTTAACGTTTTGGTTTAGTACACTTAAATGGGAATAGGCTCGTGAAAGGAACAACGGAAGCGTAACGAATATTGAAATTTAGTAATGCTGCTGCCACTTCCTTAATCTGAACACGGTTAAGGGTATCCTTCCGCTGGTTGTTTGCTCAACAATTAAATAGCGCCCCCTCTTGGAGACAATGTATGATATCATAGGGTTTTAACTATACAAAACGGTAAGAAATCAGCGATTTCTACGGAACTTAGTTTAGAAAAGCCTAGCAAAGCACGAGACCCCACTCTGCCCTTTAAGAGCAGCAAGCTTGAGAGGGATTAAGCCGGCATCTGAACTGGTGTCGTAAATGGCCTTATGGATGAAAAAAAATGTCTAAAATCCTCTAGGCTGATGCAGGTTACCTAGAAACCATTCGTTATTTTCAGATTTTTTTGGTGCATATTGCTGCCACGTGCTGCAGGCCTATGTTTTCGGAGCATTTGGTTACTCACCTAACGATACAAATCATGGTCATGATTTGTTAGTGTCAAGCGCTGCTGGAAGTCACCTGGAAAAAATGCAGCATTTTGAGCGCACCATGACTTTTGTCCAATGCATTCCTTAGCTTAAGAGGGAATAGGGGAGGCGGCTAGTCTCCTATTGTTCATGTTCTATTTTCCGTGGCCCTAGGCTGGTGTTCGAGCATTTTAATATATCGCATTGTCTGCAGATATGCATGGATTGCCTTAGAGTGTGTCACTCTGTATTGGCTTTGCGGCGTTAAAGCTGAGTAAAGCGCACCATAAATTCGCCTTTATTGAAATATGTTCCTCACAGTGCTGAAATTGCTTTTCCTCTGTAAGTATCGTACCGTTCAAACGACTCAGAAGCTCAATCTCACTTTTTTTCAGCGCGATTTTCGTGTGTTTATCGCCTAAGTGCTTTCTTAAAAAAGCTGAAACTTGTACCGGTAGTATTGTCGCTGCAAATAAAATAATGCAACATGTTTTCTAATATTCTTCTTCTGTCATCTTTGAAGGACCTTTTGCGGGATTTTAAGAGAAATAGAAAATGGAGCTTTTTAAATATTGATTTTTCACTAGGGTTTATTGTCAGCAAAATTCAATGTTTGAGGCCATTTGTAAAAATATGTGTTTGTAGTACAGCTACAATATTGACTGACAATGTTTTAAGCATTACTTTGTAGGTCACCAAGTTATGAAACACTAGCTAGTTTAGCTTGAGAGTAAAAAAGTTTGAAATATAGCAACCTTAAAAAAATTTCTCCTGTACAGACATTAAAAAAAAAACAGTTTGCTTCAGCACACAGGCTTTAAACAATGCTGCCTTACTCTTCATTATGCGCACATGTATTAGAAAAAAGTTGCCATTGTCGCCTTAATATTTGTTTTTATGTGGTCATTAACTTTTGATAATGACAAGGGACGAAATAGGTCCCTCCATGCAAATTAACTTCGATATTTTTTTCCTCCTAAATTATGCAGTTAATAAAAGAACGAAGGCCACTTTCGGGCTACTGGGTGGTATGTGCACAAAATATAATATAAAGAATCAAATCTAAAATATGTACTTTCGGACCCGTGTCGATTTCTTGTGGAATCACACTGCTTGAGAAAAGTATTACTGCGCAAGAAAAAAAGAAACGCTGCACAAATGGTTATCTACCCTTCACTTCTTCTTTTTTTTTTTTTCCAAAAAATTGACTACAACTTCGGGATGCGATCATTATGCGGGGTAAATTTTCCGTCAAAAAATATTCTGAGCACCGGAAACGCAAAAAGGTCGCTGATCAGAATTTTTGCGGTAGCTATCATGAACGTAACCAAAAATAAAAGTAAATTAAGGCTTACCTTTGTAATAAAATGCACCCATTATGCAGGAGCTACATGCATGGCACACTGCCCTTTTATTTTTTACCTCTCTGACACCCTAACACTCATTCAGACTCCGAAGCATCACTGGCATCAGTGTCGTCGCCGCACGATTCCCTGTCGGAACCGGCAGTGTCTTCACAGTCCCACAGAGGGCCATCTTCCGTCGAGCGCGTTGGAAATGCCAGCGACAGCCCATTCTACCGCATGAAGCGTGTTGTCCAGCCAGAACTGGTGCGGAAGTCCTTTGTGGCTATTCCCAGCCTCCGGGAAACTGTGCATGCCTGCGTCCGTATCATGTCTAATAACACTGCATAACCGTCCTTGTGCATTTCCTTCACGTATTCTAGGATTGCCTTTTCAATGTCGGGGAACTTGCCAGATTTGGGTTCGCAGAAAGCCCATCGCGTGCTGTTAGTAGCCATGAGCATGTCGTGCAGTTTTTTCCAATATCGCATCCGGATTTCGGCGACGCCGAAATGTCTGCCGGCAGCGCGGTTGCCGTGCTCATGCGCGTAGTTAAGCGCCTTCAGCTTGACCGCGGCAGTAAAGCTCGCATACCGCCCCATGGTAAAACGGCACTTCAACAGACAATCACAAGTAGTACATCAACAGGTAACAGAAATTTAGTACTAAAGGTAACAGAAATGCAGCAGTGATGACAAAATAGTGCACTGTGGAATTACAATAGGTATGATGTTGTGAGAGGATTATGGAAAGGAATCATGGTTCCTGGTCTAACGTTCGGCAATGCACTCTTGTGCATGAGATCAGAAGTTCAAGCAAGATTAGAAATCAAGCAACGTGGAATAGGTAGGCTTGCTTTAGGAGCTCATGGGACTACACCAAATCGGGGAGTACAAGGTGATCTGGGATGGACATCATTTCAGGGCAGGGAAGTTAGCAGCACGATAAAATTTGAGAAGTGATTGAGAGAAATGAGGGAGGAGCGTTGGGCTAGGAAGTTTTTCAGCTACTTGTACATGAAGAATGTAGATACAAAATGGAAAAAGCAAACTACGAAATTGACTGGTAAATACTTAGGAAACAGCAGGTGGCCAAACCAAAAAGAACTATCGGTTAAGAAGAAAGTGAAGGAAACGGAGACTGACATGTGGAGAGTTGGCATGATTAAAAAGTCCGTACTAGAGATCTATCGAACTTTTAAGCAGGAAATTGCCAAAGAAAGAATCTATGATAATACTCGGGGTAGTTCTCTACTGTTTGAGGCCAGGACGGGAGTATTGCGAACCAAGACATATCGGGCCAAATACGAAGGGGTAGACACGGTATTCAGTGCATGTGGAGAGGAGGAAACTGCGGAACACTTGATAAAGTTCTGTAAAGGGCTTTACGGTATATTCAGGATATTGGCACAGAGTTTTTCAAAGCACTGGGGTTTAGGGACCGGGAGGGCAAAATAGACTTTAAGCGAGTAGGCTTAACTAGAAGGAGGTTATGTGATTGGTGGCTAAAGTCAAGGCACGATTGAAAATTAAATTCTTCACTTCAAAGTACCAGTGCTCAACTTCACTATTTATTTATTTATTTTAGAAGTACTGCTAGCCTCACACATGAGGCCTTAGGCAGGGGTGGGTGATACAAAAAAGGAAACAAATATGAAGATACAACAGGAAAGAAAACACGTCACGTAGAACTAGTGCATCAAAGTAAAACGCCAGTACTTACACAATTGAAGAGGTTTACGCGTACACACACAAAAAAAAACTATGATGGCAAACATCTGCTCATACAGAACTAAGAAACAAACGTCATATAACGGTTCGAAAATAGGCAAAATTTCAAAAATACAACGCATTGATATGAAAAAAGTGATAGAAAGTGGAACGTAAATGCAAGCCTGTTCAGGATGCACGGTGGAATAATAGAGGGCGAAGGGCAAAGAAAAATCGAAGTCAAGTGGGTTGCTGGTGTTTAAGTTTTTCTATGAACAACTGAACGGTTTCGCAGTTCACCAGATCGGCAGAAAGAGCATTCCAATCAGTGACAGTGCACGTAAAAAATGAGTTTTTAAAGGCTTTTGTTTGACAGGAATATTCCTTCAGTTTTTTTGGATGCTCGGAGTGAGTTGATCGGCAGCGAACCGTTTTTTTGTACGCGTGCTTGT